CACGGCCTTTTAACTATTCCCTATTTAGCTGAAACCGGTTTGGCTTAATGGATAGAGCTTCAGTCTGGGGACTGAAAGGTCCCAGGTTCGATTCCAGTCAAGGGCATGTGCATTGGTTGCTGGTACATTCCCGGTAGGGGGTGTGCAAGAGGCAGCTGGTTGATCTTTCTCTCTCATCGATGTTTCTAGCTCTCTATCCTTCTCCCTTCCTCTCTGTAAAAAATCAATAAAATATTTTTTTAAAAAAACACACACACACAAAAAAACTATTCCCTATTTAATCAGCCAACCTCATTGTCCACTCTTAACTCAACAGAGACCTACAGTTACAAAGGTTAACTCCTTTATCTATATCTTTTCATCTTTATCCAGACTCAAGACTTTCTCTACCTCTTCACCTAAATAATTCCTCCTATTGCTACAAGGTAAAGTCAAACTTTCCCTTGTTTCACAAAGCTCTCTTTTTCTATATATAACTAGAGGCCTGGAGCACGAATTCGTGCACAGATGGGGTCCCTCTGCTTGGCCGGCGATCAAGGCCTATCAGAGGGCCAGCCAGCCAGCCAGGGGGTGGAGGGATCTTGGGAGGTTGGCCCGTGGGACCCCCAATTAGGGCCCCAAGGGAAAAACTGGGGGAGGTTGGGAGGTTGGCCAGTGTGGGGGAGGGGCCTTGGGAGGTTATCTAGCAGGGGGAGGAGGGGAGAAAGGCTGTGGGAGTTTACTGACCACCAGGGGGCAGCTCCTGCATTGAACACCTGACCTCTGGTGGTCAGTGCTCACTGGTTGACCAGTTGTTCTTTCTGGTTGTTTGGTCGTAATGATACACACATATATATATAATATATATATTATAATTATATATATAACTATATATATAAATATATATAAATATATATTTTTATATATTTATATATTTATATATAATTATATATATAATTATATATTTATATAGAATTATATACATAATCATATATAATTATATATAATTATATATAATTATATATTTATATATATATTATATATTTTTTCATATATATAATTTTTATTTCAGAGAAAAAGGGAGGAGAGATAGAAGCATCAATTAGAGAGAGAATCATTGATTGCCTACTTCCCCCTATGGAGGATTGAGAATGCAACCCTGGCATGTACCCTGACCAGAATCAAACTATGACCTTCTGGTTCACTGAGCCACACTGGCCTGGCTCACAAAGCTATCTTTAACTCACTAGCCCATAACGGCTACATCACTTTCTATGCCATTCATTTGACACTTCATCATATACTACCATTATCATTATGAAATATTACATACGTAAGTGCCTTGTTTTATTATTATTATTTTTTAATTTAAGCAGTATTAGATAATTTGTATGCCCTTAAATGGTAGTTATAGTAGCACCTATCGTAAAGGGTGGTACAGGAGTACCCAGGGACATCATAAGCTCTCTGGAAATATCTGCTGAATGAATTTATGAAGAAATTTTTGTGGCCAGCAATGTGGACTCAGGCTGCAGTTTATTTTCAAATTTGGTAATTGACAATTCTCCTTGGAAGTACCTGGATACTTTATACTATCTTTATGGAATGCCTTCAGGGCCCTCTTTTGGTAGACTGTTCAAAATATCATAAATGTGACAGGAGAAGATTAAAGTAACATACTGTCTTAAATTCCCTGACATACTTAGAGCAGTTCCATTCTAAATCCATCACTGGATTATTAATATTATATTCCACAACTCTTTAAGATAATTCCACCTTGTCGATCCTTGTTCTTGTCCTCGGAAGTTTGAGAATCTTTAAATATTTTTAGTAGATTAATTTCTATTTCAAAATATATCATTTAGGAAAATACATTTTGGGCTGTAGTCATGTTACTCTCTTGGCTGAATATCAGTTACCATAAACCTAAACCCCATGTAAAATGCAGGAGTGCATTTCAACTTTTTGTTGTTGTTGTTGGTCAGACTAAGATCTAAATAATTAAGACTTTTTTTTCCTTCAAAATCAGAAAGTAAATTATAATTCCTATTATTCTGAGTCTTATTTGAAAATGCATGAGCCAACACAATATTGATAGACACTACTGAAATTCAGGGTATATGTGTCACTCATGTCAAATGCCAGCAAGTAATTTATTTCATGAGTCTTATTAACCATTATTTTTCCCATACTAATTTAGAAATATTAAAAAATTAAAGTTTGATAAGGAAGAACTATCAGTTATCTGCTTCTTCTTAGCTGCCTTCTGAACATTTTATATGTAGTTAATTAAATTTGTTAACGGCTTTATTGAGATATAATTTACACACTACATAATTCACTCATATTAAGTGTATGATTCAATTTCTTTTGGTAGCCGAAACCGGTTTGGCTCAGTGGTAGAGCGTCGGTCTGCGGACTGAAGGGTCCCGGGTTCGATTCCGGTCAGGGGCATGTATCGATATGTTGGCTGTGGGCACATCCCCGGTAGGGGGTGTGCAAGAGGCAGCTGGTTGGTGTTTCTCTCTCATCGACGTTTCTAGCTCTCTATCTCTCTCCCTTCCTCTCTGTAAAAAATCAATAAAATATATTTTAAAAAAAATTTCTTTTGGTATACTCACAGAGCTGTGCCACCATCACCAGAATCTAATTTTGTTTTATTTTCTATTTTTAAAACTGAAATAGAATTTACCATGTGTATTAATTACCATTCCAACTTTAAGTCTGAGTTTCGTCACCCCAATAAGAAACCTCATATCCATTGGTAGTCTATTCCCATTTCCCTCCAACCCTTACAGCCTTAGGTAACCACTAATCTCTATATCTGAACTTGTTTATACTTAGCATTTAGCATAAATGGAATTGTACAAGATGTGTTTTTGTGTGAGAGTGGCTCCTTTCAGTTAGCATAATGTCATGTGTATCCGAACTTCATTCCTTGTTCACACCTGATAATATTCTATTGCATGGCTATACCACATTTGGTTTATTCATTCATCGGCTCATGGGTGTTTCAGTTGTTTCCACTTTTTGGCTATTAGGAATAATGCTGTTATGAACAGTTGCATACAGGTCTTTGTATAGACATATGTTTCTATTTTTCATGGATAGATATCAAGGAGTGAAATTACTAGGTCAGGTGCTAATCACTCCTGAGATGAAAAACAGCATTTCCTTTTTTTTTTCTATTTCAAAGGATTTGTGACATAGCCAGGAAACAGAATTTTCGTGCAAATGCTAATATCAAATCCTCCTTTGAAAAAAAAAAAAAGTTAATCCGCACACAGCTTTGCTATCAAAATAACTGTGTCATATTACTTTCCAATTTGGGGCTCTTGTAGATATTCTAAGATGAGGTGAGAACTCCTTTACATACAGTGTAAATCATAAAACTAAATCGAGTTTGCACTGGCCTATTTAATTAACATAGTAGGATCAAATTCTATTTTCTGAGCGGAATGCATATATCCATCTCTTGTGGCTAGCTATTGCTTAAGAGATAAATACACGGTAAGAGAAGGCTTATACAGTAGGAGGAGCAGTAAATAGGCATTTAAAATATCAAACACCCTGATTAAATGAAACACAGTCCATCCCCTAGCGAGGCCTGTTGCTCATCTCATAAGAAAAAAAAAAAAAAAGTGAAGCATTAATTATAATTCATCATGTAAGTTCCCAAAAGCCTTTCATAAAAGCATCTTTCAGAAACTTGGAGGCCAAATAAACTTCTGGACACAAATTATTTTCCCCTTGCTGGCAATGTACACTCCAGTTCAAATATATTCAGGAAGCAAACTTTAAACAGAGAATTAACAGCTGATTTTAAAATTCTCCATTAAAAAAAGGGAGGACTTCAAAAGTGGGGGGGGGGGGGGGCTTAAAACAGACTTTTTAACTTAAAGAAAAAAATCAACTATCTTGCAGCAGAAATGAGGCACAACCAAGGGAAAACTACCTACCAGACGTCCTACCAAGCGCAGCACTTAGAGAACGCCACAGGACACATTCGTTTTAGCCAACAGCTCTTTCCTCCGCCTAAGCTACCCCCACCCCCCTAGATTATCAGATAATAACCCAATCAGTGATTTATCATTAGCTTCCCTTCTGATCACCCCCACCTCGAGAGACACACACACACTTCTACCTGCTTGCTTGGAGGTGTCCAGGCGACTGGAAATGGTTAACAGTGTGGCCAGCAGCGGAGGAGAGAGAAACAAACACCCCTGACAACCCACAGCTGAGTAAGCAAGAGCTGTTTATTCACCAACGTGTTCCATTTGGAGACGGACGGCGGGCGCTGGGAAGCCCAGGCACATTTTAGGGGGTGGTTCGCAGAGAGGGAGAGAGACCCTATTTTCTCCCCACCCCACCCACCCCCAACCCCCCACCCCAAACACACTTGGTTCGGGTGGGGACCGGCTGGCCAAGGCAGTCCCTGCCCACCGGCCCCATAGGAATCACATCAGCAGCATCCGAGCATCCGATCCCCGGCGAGGCTGGCGTGTAACTAAGTCCCCCCAAAAGGAGCTCAGGCGCGGCAGGGACCGGCCCCCCTGCGCCCAGGGCTTCAGCCGTCCTGGGTGCCACCCCCCAAACCCCCGCCACGATGACCGATGCGGCGGCCGGAGCTGGTGAGACCCCGAGACATGGCCCAGGGAGCCCCCCCTCCCCACCCCTCCTCTACCTGGCTCGGTCCCACCTGAAGGCAAGAGCTGAGAAGGAAAGACACAGGCACAGGGAGGGAGGGCTGACCTTGTTGCTACTGACAGCGGAGGAGCGGCACATCCTGCTGCTTCCTGGAAAGCGGCCCCGAGCACATTTTCGCCCCCCCGGGAGGAAGGAAACGGGAGGGCGCCGGCCGGGCGGCGGCGGCGGCGGCGATGGGCGCGGCGGCGGTGGCGGTGGTCGGGGGCGGGCGGTGCAGCCTCCGGCGGGGACGGTGCGAGGACTACATCTCCCAGGCTGCTCTGGGCCGCCCCTGCGTCGTGACCCCGGCGCGCACGGAGGCGGGGACGCTCTTACCTCACAGAGGTAGCTCCTCCGCCCGGCTAGCAACTCGGCGCGCCCCGCGGTCCATGGACCGGAACCCCGGGCCGACGGGCAGGAACCCGGGCCGCGATCATCGCCTCCTCGCCCCAGGCTCCTCCTCCTCGCTCCCCGCCGCCGCCTCCTCGGGACGCCCGCAGGCCGCGCCGCGCCGCCGCCGCCGCCGCCGGGCTCGCAGAGCTTGACCCCGGAGGCTGGGAGGCGGGTTCGTGGCCGCCGCCGCCGCGGGACTGAGGCCTACTCCGCCGCTTCTCAGTGCTATTGTCCCCGGGCCCGGCCCCGACCGGGTCCCCCTTGGAGAGAGGCGAGTGCTCCGGCTCCACCGTAAAGATGCCGGACCAAGCCCTACAGCAGATGCTGGACAGGTAGGGGCAGCTTTTTGGGGGGCGCACGCGAGCCGCGGGGAGCCTGGCCCGCCCCGCGCCGGCCTCGAGGCGCCCCGGCGGGCGGGCGGGGAGGAGCCCCGGGGCCTGCAGGGGCCAGACGGACGAGGGGCAGAAAGTTTGGAGTGTCCGGACTTGGGGGGGGGGGGGGGGCCAGCCGGCGGCCGGGTTGCGCAGACTTGAAAGCGAAACATAGTGGGGAAAAAGGAGCGTGTCGTAGGGTGGGAACGCCGCTTTGCAATGGGAGGGAGGCGTTTGAAGCCACAGCTGGAGTTTTTCTTTTTTCCTATTTTGTTATTCTCCTAACTGGGCTGTAAACGTGTGTGTCAGCGATGTCACTGGCAAGACCCAGGCTGTCTTTAAAAAAAAAAAAAAAGGGGGGGGGGGAATGATCCTCACCTAGTTAATTTCAAGGCTCTTTCAAAAAAAAAACAAAAAACTAAGGATAAGCAATCTTTTGGAAAGCCTGATGGGCTGACTTCAGCCCTCCTTCCGCCTCAGCCCATCCCCACGCCCAGGCGATAAGGTCGGGGGTGTCCGCCCGGGAGCCGTAACGGTCACACCTAAGGGTAGAGGTTACGGAAAACAGCCTCCCGGAGCCCAGCTCCGGACACGTAGCGTATTTGTCGATTTCATTGAGTTCACGAGGAAGTTTCATTTGATGTTGGAGCCACTTGCCATTCCTGGGGGGGAGATGGGGGTGGGGGGCTCCAGTCCATAAAACTTTTTGTGAAATCGGATGCATCGCCCTCTGCTGTTCAAATTCTGGTCCTTGGGTTCTCCCTTGACTTTCGGGAGCCTTAGTCCACAATTTCCCCCTTCGTCTGGTCTTAACTACCCGGCATAGCCAGTGCTGCAGGCTAAATGCAAATACTGATGGTCACCACTCCCAAGGGCCGCGTTGCCACCGAGGTCAGCAAGTGGCCCTGTCCTGCTCTCTGTGCTGAGCAAAGGTCCCGCCGTAAGGTGTCAAACAAAAGGCGCCTCCCTTCATTGCGATTCTGCCTGGTTAAACGCTGTTTGGATCCACCACATCCAGCACACAAATCACCCAGGAGAGCATCTCCTCCCAGAATGGGGCATTTCCTTTGGAGCTTAGAATTTTGAGACATCTAAGTTAATAGAAATCATGTTGCTGACATTTTTTTTTTTTCAGCTGGGATTACCCAATGGTCCATTCAGCTGACCGCGAGGTCAGCATTCAGGTCAAACTTATTGACAGCTTTTTTTTTTTGCTTTTTTTTTTTGCGTGTAAATAATCTACAGGCTCCGGGAAGGGAGAAACTCGGTCATCAGTGTTTATTTTGAATGCTAGAATCAAAGCCTTGTGCTCGATGGGTCATCAGTACGTATTTGTTTTATAAATAAAATGCTACGTGATTTTTTTTTCCTCAGTTGTCTAGGGGTCTGATAATTTACCAGTTTTTTGTTTGTTTGTTTTCTTACAATTTAGAAAATGGCAAATTGCATAGGACCTCTAAAATATGCCCCCAGGAGACCACCTTCTATCACTGCCAATTTCAATCAGATAATACTCTACTCTTGTGCAGGGTATTTTGTAATTAAATATTTTTTCCACTGAGGGCATGCTGCTTTGACTTTTATGTGAGAAAAGTTTGTGTCTCCAAAAGCTTATCTGCTTTTCCTATGCTCTTTGGAGATTTTCATAAAAGTAAAAAGCCAAGGAGTGCTAGTGAAGTATTTAACACTTCTCAACAGAAACATAGAAATTCTGACTGCATTTACTAAAGCAGGTGACTGTAATATGGGCGAACCTTTACCTTTAGATAGACCTCAAGGTAGATTCTTAAGATGGTATTCAAAGACCTTTATTATCTGTTATTGAATCAGTAATTGGCAATCTGCCTCCACTTCAGAATCACCTGGGGAGCATTTTAAAGTATAGATGGATGGGTGGCTCAAAACCAATTAGATCACAAATTTCTGGAGGAGGGGTCCTGAGCATTTATAGTTTCAGAAGCTTTCCAGGTGTTTCTGATGGGGTTGAAAAGACTACCTTAAACCATAAGGGATTATTTCATGGTAAGAGATAGTACAGCTGAAACCGGTTTGCCTCAGCGGTAGAGCATCGGTCTGCGGACTGAAAAGTCACAGGTTCGATTCCGGTCAGGGGCATGTACATTGGTTGCAGGCACATCCCCGGTAGGGGGTGTGCAAGAGGCAGCTGGTCGATGATTCTCTCTCATCAACGTTTCTAGCTTTCTATCTCTCTCTCTTACTCTCTGTAAAATATCAGTCGGCCTGCGGACTGAAAGGTCCCAGGTTCGATTCCAGTCAAGGGCATGTACCTTGTTTGCGGGCACATCCCCAATGCGGGGTGTGCAGGAGGCAGCTGATTGATGTTTCTCTCTCATCGATGTTTCTATCTCTCTCCCTTCCTCTTTGTAAAAAATCAGTAAAATATATATATTTTTAAATTAGAATTAAATGGATAGAGAATACAAAGAATATGATAATCTACAGGACTGGACCTCAGGTTCTGGAAACTTGACTTTTGTGTACCCTGACTCACAGTAAACACTCAGGAATGTGTTGAGGTTGTTTTGCATCCCTGATTTGCACCTGGTGAGTAAGCAGGGAATGTAGCCAGTGTCCCCACAATAGTCAGATGAAGGAAAAGCAAGGAGAATAATCTTCTCCCTACCTGCCTCCTGCCGTGCAAAGTGAATCAGAATCTTCACTTTGTGAGGATTATCAATCACAGATGCACATTCCATTAGAAAATATTCTGATAGGAACATGTTGCCTATATTACCTTGTGAGTTATATAACTATCGTAGTTTCCATTAAAGCAACTTCCCATTTTCTTTGTCAGTTGACATCTTTTTCTCCATCACCTCTATCCCCTTTTGACAATTACAGAGCAATACCTGGAATTAAATCATTAGCAATTAGTTATTTTTACTTCCATCTGTATGTAAAAAGTAGAAACTTCACTATGTCCCCTTTGACCATTTGCCCCAGTCTCCCCTAAACTATCATAAATGGATTTATATTTTTCCAGTATTTGTTTAATGCTTATATACCATATATAACAAATAGTTTTGTTCTTGTTTCTAAAATTTAAACTACATTTGCTTTTTAAAAATTGTTTTGATCTGTGATATACATCAATAAAAAAATATATATAAAATACCTAAACATTTTCTTTTTAGTTCATTTCCCCTATGACATTTAGTTTTTATTTTCTCTTTATTATCTCTCTTTATAATTTGACTTTCATTTCCCTTTCTTGTCTGTAGCTCTGCTAAAAGTATACTAAAGGTCACCCACCAATACATGTAATGAAAATGAAACTAACTTCTTAAAACTATGTTCCGTTATGCCATACTATTTACTTTCGATTTTTTTCTTCCTCATATATCATCTTTTTTCTCCTTTCAATCACTTAAGTATGGTTCAGTCCTCAACACTCGTCAGTCTTTTCTGAAAAGTATACTCTTTTACTATTTCATTTTCACCTCTATTTGAATGACTCTTAGATGTGTCTTTATTCCTGATCTCTTTCCACATTTTAGTGTCTCATTTCTAGCTGCTCAATAGACATTGCTACTTGTGTATATATTACTAGCACTTTAACCTATTTAAATTACTGATATTTCCAACTGCCTTTTTACATATCTTGACTTCCTAATGTTTGGTCTTTATTAAGACCATTCTTCTAGTCTACCAGCCATAAAGCCTAAGAATTTTTGCATCTTTCCCTTCAAATTCATTTGTTTATCAGATATTGTGGATTCTACTTTCTCTGACTCAGTTTTTCTCTTCTATTTTAGAAGTGGTATCAGAATTAGCCATGGCACAATTATAATCATGTCGTTTCCATGCTTTAAAAATTGCCAGTCTTTATGTCATCTTTAGGATAAAATCTAAACTTTCAAGACACCGCCGAAACCGGTTTGGCTCAGTGGTAGAGCGTCGGTCTGCAGACTGAAGGGTCCCGGGTTCGATTCTGGTCAAGGGCATGTACATTGGTTGCGGGCACATCCCTGGTGAGGCATGTGCAAGAGGCAGCTGGTCGATGTTTCTCTCTCATCGACGTTTCTGGCTCTCTGTCACTCTCCCTTCCTCTCTGTAAAAAATCAATAAAATATATTTAAAAAATTAAAATTAAAAAAAATAAACTTTCAAGACACCAGTGAAGGAATTTAGACCTACCAATATAATCCAACCCCAACCTACCGTAAGGATATTTTCTGCATTCCACTTCATTGTCCTCTGAATATATCCTGCTCTTTTATTTCCTTATTTTTGCTTAAATTACTTCTTCCCTTTTAATACCTGGCTAACTCTTACCCATCTTTATAATTAAGCTCATATATCATCTTGAAACATTGCACAACTCCTTCAGGCAGAGTGAGTTATTACTTCCTGTGTTTCCATGGAACCTTTTATTCTAGTATATCATATTGAATTGTAAATTATTATTATTTTTTATTAATCCTCACCGAAGGATATTTTTCTATTGATTCTTAGGGAGAGGGAAAGAGAGAGAATCATCATAGTTGCCTCCTGAACAAGCCCCAACCAGCGCCTGGCCAGAGAGGTGTATGTACCCTTGACTGGAATCGAACCTGAGACCTTTTGGTCCACAGGCTGATGCTGTATCCACTGAGCCAAACCAGCTAGTGCTATAGTTTTTTAATGCACCTATTATGTGTCTCAGAGCCTTCTACATTCACCCTTTACCACCACCAACATGCACATTCAACTGGAAGTTCACTGAAAACAGAAACTATTCCCTTATCCCATTTCTCTACAAGAAAACACTGTTGAATTACAATGTCTCCACCCCCCCCCATTATTTATGACATATTAGTGCTTAGAATATCCTTACAGACACTGTTTAAACAATTGTCTTATTTGTTCAAAATCACTTGTTTTCTTACTGCTTATTAAGCTTACGTTTCAATTCTTGAGCCTGCCCTTTAGGACCCTCTATAATCACACTTATTGTGTTT